AGGCTTTCATAAAGTCCCAAACTAAAGAGCTGTAAACATTTGGGGAGATGTTTGTTTCTAAAAAAAAAAGAAAAGAAAAAAGAATAAGTTAATTGGTTGTTCATAAATTCCAGAAAGGTATCATCTGACAGCAATGTTGAATTAAAATGCCAACTCCATTCTGATAAGTTGAGTAAGGCAGGTATAGACAGGGTCAACATTAAGGGGGCATGATCTGATATTACTATGGCAAAGTATTCGCAGGCACTCATAAAACTAGTTAAATAATTATCCAAGAAAAAATATCATCCTAAAATTAGAAAAGGTGTGATGCACATTAGAGAACAAGGAATACTCACTATCAGTCACATCAAGATTTTGCCATATATCCTTAACAACGTATGTAGAGAAGAAATAGTGAATGTGCAAGACTGATTTACTCAGACAGGTCAGTTTTAACGAGGCTCAGTCCAAAACAGGGTCTAATCAGCAACTGAGGTCCCTGAGTATCAAAGAGGTGTTCGAAAAACTTGTGATCATCAATGTTAGGAGCGTATACATTAACTAAAACTATCTGTATGTTATATAATCTCACTGAAACAATAACAAAACAACCTACCGATCTGAAACCTTGTTGCTGATGAGAATGGATACTCCTCTAGCCTTGGCCTCAAAACATGAATGGAACTACCAAGCTGTAAATTACCTGAACCTCTGACATGAGTTTCATGTTAAAAGGCAACAGAAGCATCGTCTTGCTTTATTTGTGCAAAATAATGATTGATTTGAATGATTTAATCCCTTAACATTCTGGGCAAATCTAAGGCACTGATCATACACGATGGTAATCTTGTATAAAGATTAAAATAAAGAAGGAATGCAAAAACAGAGTTTGTCATACAAGTGAAAAGAGGAATGAAAGAAGCCCAGTACAGAACATAGGATAACACCCTATGTGGATATGAGTTCTGTGGTGGAAAAAAGGCTTTCCAACAACACAAACCCCCTGATCCCTCCTGCCTCACCCCAATCACTGGACACCTACTGAAGAACGCAGCAGCAGCTCACCCATACAACATTTGTTCCTCCAAGAAAAAAACAACTTCCAGGTCAAAACTACTAACTCGGCTCTCACCCCGATCTGAAGTATGCACTGAAGCATTACTCAAAGATGTGGAGAAACCTTGCAAAGAAAAGTGACCAACAGCGCACTCTATTGGCATAAGCAGCTCAGTAAAGAAGAATGCATGAAAAATAAATAAATAAATTAATTAATTAATTAATTAATTACAAAAAAGACTAAAAACAAATAAAATAACATAAGAAATAGTAATAAAAATTAATAAATGAATAAATTAACTAAGTAGAAATGATCTACATGCCGGCAGTTGAGAACTCCCCTTCAGCACGCCTCCCTGATGATGAGCTCTTTCGTCTGAAACCTGTGAAGGCAGAGAATCACTGGTCATGGTCGGTCCGCCGCTTTCGGAAGAAGCTACAAAACTTTAAGGCTGACACTAGATTCTAGATCGCTGGATACTAGCTTCAAAGATTGGACAAATAAAGGATTACTTTATGTATGGTAATGGAGGAAGGTAGATTACTTAGTTTTGAAAAGATTAAAGAAAAATATTCATTAGGAACAGGATTTTCATAGATACCTACAGATGAGGCATTTTGTCAGCAAAAAGATCAAATCTAAGGCTGGATTAAGCAAACAGCTGTTGGACTTATTTGAAAGGATCTCTATCTTTATTTGTATAATGGGTTATAAAACATGAAATCACACTCGACCCTATGTATCAAAACAAAATGGGAAATGGAGGGAGGAATAGATATAATGGAGGAAGAGTGGACAACAATATGCACATATCAATGGAAATGTAGCCGCTCACAGAGCTGGAGGGAATTTGGTTGGAAAAGCCTGATAAAATATTTTATTACACCTCACCAAAAATCTCACTATGAAGGTAACCCTCCCGTTTGCTGGAGAAAATGTGGAAACACAAATGCAAATCATTATCATATTTCTGGGACTGTCATGTTATTAAAACGTATTGGAAGGGCATGCAACAAGAGATATTTGGACGTTATTTACATTTAGAAAGTAAAACTTTATTTTTTGGACTCATGCCAGAAAGATGGACAAAGAACGATAAATATTTGTTTAATATTTTATTGGTGGCAGGCAAAAAAGCCCTCACAAAAACTGGCGTTCATGTGAGAGCCCAACTATGAACATGTGGATGGATGTCACACTGGACAGGATGGAGAAAATGACAGCGGATGTGAACTACGAGACGGACCTGTGTGTATCACACTGGAAGAAATAGATGGAATAACACGGAGGCCAGATTCTGACTTTGTTAACATTAGATAATATATTATTTATATTACTGGTAATTAAATCTCACTCCCTAAGTGTTTATGTTTTTTTCTTATTATTTTCTTCTTTTTTTCTGCTTTTGTGAGGATGTTTTTGTTGTTGAAAAAAAACACATGTAGATGGATATCTAATTATTGAAGCTGATGCACATGATACTGTACAGTGATTCCTAAATGTCAATAACAATTATATTTTTTAAAAAGAAAAAAGCCTGACACTTCTGCATCAAAACAGGGCCATACATTCTGGTGTTAGGAAATGGATGCACTCTTCATGCTGCAGTTTAGCAGCAGAAATCAGTCAAGCAGTCATTAACTCCAGCGGTCATCACATCCCTAGGTCCCTTAATGAATCAAACTCTTGTAGTGTTACCTTAGAGAACCACTGCTAGCTGGCTTTGTTGTTCCCAATTATTACAAGAAAGATTCAAGATTCAAGAGCTTTATTGTCAATACAGCAGTATACAAAGTATAGAGTGTACTGAAATGCTGTTTCACCCCAAACCCCCCCACGGTGCATTTATAAGTATATAAAAGATATACTAGGAATTACAAATAAATAACATGCTAAATTTCAGTAAAATTAAGGGATAAAAAGGTACTAATTACTAACTATACAATACTATAATGATAACTATACAATGCTAACAGTACGATAAACAAAGACAGGACAGAGACAATACAAAGTGGATGTGTTAACCCAACTGTTGTAACATCAGCCATAGTCATAGTCCATTAGCCATATTCCAAAATCAGTACGCGAAACAAAGTAAACAGTCAAAACTACATACAAAGAACAGCGCGTGCAAACAGGAAGTGATGGTTTTGTGTTATGCTTCGTTGTTCTTTTATATCGTGTACCCGCGACCGATTTTGAAGAGTAATGGGCAAACTTAATGTCTGATCCATTAATGCTCATCAGGACTATTGCTGACCATATACCCATAGCTGTGCCTGACTAACCATTCATTACTCCGCTTTTTTAATGGGGACATGGATCAACTGGGTAATGAGATATTGTAATATATAATATTAACACACCGGTTTAGCTCAGTGGGATGAGCAGGTGACCATATGCCGTATGACTGAGAGCAGCCGGCCACGGCCCTTTGCCGCATGTCTTCCTCTCCTCCACTTTCCTGTCAAGTCTTCGCTGTACTTATCTAATAAAAACTGAAAAAAGGCAAGAAAATTAAAATATAAATATAAAAGGACGCAAATACATGCCATGGTGTACAAAAGTGACAGAGTACAGTGAGGTGTGGGAGTGAAGGTGGATTGTACGTGGATAAATGAAAGAGTCTGCAGCAGGAAGAAACGACCTTCTGTAACATTCCCTCTGACAGCAAGGTTCAAGGATTCCAGTTGTCCCGTGTGTTACGGAGGGGTGGGAGTCAGCCTTGATTGCTAGTAGTCTTACCAGCATTCTGTTACCGACCACCTCCTCCAAGGTGGCGAGCTTTGTGCCAGCGATTGACTCAGCCTTTCTGGCATGAAGCTCAAACATATGGACTGTTTGTCAAGACAGACCATTTAATACTTGGACTGTGGATGCTCTAAACTGTGTCACCACTCGGAAAAAAACACTGTCAGCACTGCAATACCAACAAGGAGCCAAAACACTCGACAAACCAACATAAAGATTTTTTTTGTCAAAGTTTCCTGCAGAACATGTCATCTTTTCCAAACACAGCATCTCTGCAATGGTATATCATTATATGTGCGTGTAGACTGATTCCGCACACATGCCCATACCACCAGTCTAGCTGAACTACAATTCAAAAGACACAAAGAGCAAGACTTGGGGTGTGTGGAGGTGGGTATACTGGACTAGAACATCTTACAGTGCCTAACACCATAACAGATAGGATCATGGATATGTTTGATACAGTCTGCAAAAAACAAAAACATAAATAAATAAATATCCAATACAAAAATTAAACTTTTATGTGGCTGCCATATATTTAAGGAGCTGTCAGATATTCTGATTTTACTAATGTTGCTTACTGAAACAGGACGTCTGCATTGAAGCTTGCAGAATTTTCTGTTTTTAGGTTGAGTTGTTCTTTCCTAAAAGATTTCTCGGATTTGACAGTGCCATCGCCCAACTGGTTCTTGGTCTTCCATGTGCTAATCCCCCCAGATTCCACTAACAGTGTTTAATTTAATAATATTTGTATCAATATTTTTGATATGACAGATTATTCTGTTGGCAGTGTTAAATATAGGATGAAATGAATGCTTTTATTTGGTTCTCTTAGATGAATACACCACCGCTGGTTTCCACGGTCAGGCTTTTTTTGTGTGTGTGTTTGTCGTTTTTCGAAGCATTCTATCGCATTTGTCCTAAAGTCAAATGAACCCAGCTCAGTCTGTTTGAGATAATCTGGTTACACGTTTAGATCAAAACAATAACCTTTACGTCACAGGGGGTTATGTGTCTATTTGAAAACATATTTGTAAATTCCCGTCGCCGTTATTCTGTTATATGGGTTCTTTTACCCCAGTAATATTTACGATAAACTACATTTAGCGATGCAATGTTTAGAGAGTTATGAAAAACAAAGCGACTGAATACATTAGTGTTGATTTGTGACAGACCCCCCTCAGCAAGCACATAATGCTGCAGTCCAAGGCGCGCTAAGCGATTTGGCGCTAGTGTGTGTCCGGTGTTCTGTAATCAGCTGCTGCAGCGCAGACACTTTCCACTTTGAGCTTCTGGCTGTTTTTGAATCATACAGTGCCGTGACCTTCATGGCCAGTCATGTCTGAAGAAGAGATCAAGGTTTCCGATGAGCTTTTCAAAGATGTCAAATTCTACGTGGTTGGGGATATTGACCAAAAGGTGAGATTCTGGACGTTAGCAGCTTTAGCCAAGTTGGTAGCCTGTGCTAACTAGCTAAAGTCATTGACTCTAAAGCAGGTGATGCAAGAGAAGCTAAGTAGTAGCTAAGTATTCGAGCTGTCTTTAGCTAACCTCTGTCAGGCCACGTAACGGTGCTTGAGACTTTCAAGTGACGCTCGCTCACTGAATAATTTGTGCAGAAGCTCCTTCAAACTGCACTTTCACGCAGCCCTTTAGCACTAGCTGCGAGTTTTGCATGTTAGCTGCTAGCTCCTAGCTTGCGGTTTGTGAGGCTAAGGCTTGCTGCTGCCGCTTGTTAGCATTATTTTTCTAAACGATTAGCCTCAGTAATATTGCTTGGAACTTCTGATAAGCAGTGAAACGCTGCACTGCCGGTGTATTGTGTTACTTTTCATCAACCTATGACTGTCAGCATCTTGCTCAGTTATTCGCCCATTACTGCGCATGTGTCCACAATTCCACTCGTTGGTACTGAACACCTGTGGTAAAGAGCTGTCCTTCTTGTCAAATGGCACTATCCAGACGCTTTGAGTCTGCACCGAGAACAAACAATACAATTATCATTTACAGTCGTGGATTGATGTCTTATTGGGATTGCTCCAAGCTAAACCTCACATTCTAAAAGCTGGTTTGCTGTTGAAGTCTGGCTGCGGTTAAAGGCTCAGTTACACTTATTCGGAGCAGAGAGGTGTGGTGGACAGTGCCGTGTCTTCCTTTAGAATGCAGTCGTGCACGGTGGGAGAGATGAAAAATAAATCCAAAAAAAAAAGTATTTCAGTTTTTGTTATATCAGTCACTGAAAAAATGACAGTAACCAGCTCCGTCTTTGTCTGTTAAGGCACACAGGTAATAATTGTAATATTATTATCAAACATGCTGTTATTAACACTAGATTTGGGTGGAGCACAGGGCTTCTCATCTTTTTCATCTCTTAAATGATCAGTTGTTAGTGCTTCATGCAGTCCAGGTTAAGGGATGTGACAGGCCAATTTTCAGCCAGTGAGAAGGGGCTTTAACGGCGGTTTAGTCTTGAACATTGCATTGAACGATTATATTTTTGTACACATTTACAGTCACGATAATATGCTGACATTTACACCATAAACCAGCAAGGTTTTTGGTCTGCCAGCAACAGATCTGACACTGCTGTCTCTTAAGGGATCATGTCCTGATCAGAATGTGTGGAAATGGTTCCAGTGATAAAAATAGGCATCAAGATATAAATGAAATGTCTCAAATCTTTGATGCAAAGTTTAATTGAAGCATTACAGCCTTTGAAATCCACTAGTCATAATTTTGTTTGTCAGGGATGGGCCTTCTCAGATAAGTGCTCACGCTGCCAGATAGTTGCCACAAGCGTCAGCTTAAACAATGCTCCTTTGCCAATAAGACTTCCTCATTAAAATGTTGGAGGTTGCCCTGAATCGGTGCCTGGGTGAAGGTAGTTTGAAGTTGTCTCTCAGACTCTGTGCTCCTCCTCCAAAGAATGATGACTATTAGTCTTCAGTTTTCATAACGTGGACATTGTCCAAAGCTGGTGTGGATAGACTTTAAGGTCTTGGACTTAGCTGGCAGTACTTGTTCTGCTAAGCAACAAAGGTGAGCTACAATAAAACCAAGTGTCCACTTAGTCTCTTTGCAGTCAGAGATGTAGGAGTTTCCACCTGTCTGACTGAGAGTGAGCTGAGACTGCTGACTGACACTGAGGAAGCCAACAACAGCAGCCTGCCTTCAGAGAAACACTAGATCAAAGCTCTCTGGTTAGCAGCAACTGAGCTTTCATAATCACTGATACTCTCACATGGATGATAAAGAAATCACAAAATATACTTGCACAAGACTTTAGTTGGAAACACTGTGCTCAGAGCATCTACAGTTTATTAAGAATGTCAGTATTTGTATTTATCCTTCTGACCTATTTAGTTCAAAATAACTTTGTGAACTTGTGGCTCCCACAGCGTCTGTGTTAGTTAAATTGATGTAACTGGAATTCTCTGCTCGTACTCCAGGTGGTGCAGCTGCTAAAAGCAGGAAAAGCAAAGGAGGTGTCCTACAATGCTCTGGCCACTCACATCATTGCAGAGGATGGGGACAACCCTGAGGTGGGCGAGTCAAGAGAGGTTTTTGACCTTCCTGTTGTCAAGGTAAGGGTTGTGTTACAACATACTCACTACTCACAAGTTTTTCTGTTTCTCACTTGATTCTGTAACAGCATAACTTTTGAGACAGCTCTAGCTCCTCTGCCATAAAGTTGTCATACAGCAGTATTTTTTCTGCCTGATCATTTATGCATTCTGGTTGAATCTGTACCAGCAGCTTACAGACACGCTGTCAGCCTTTGACTTACAGTTCTGCTCATGTTTTTCAGCCATCCTGGGTCATTCTGTCGGTCCGATGTGGAGACCTGTTACCGTATCCTTCCACTGTCCAGACCAGCGCAGCTCAGACTGCTGTTTGCCAATACATAAATCTATATTAATTCATTGATTGGTACTGAAGGGTAATAACTAGACCTATGAAAAACAAAAACAGTTCACATCAATGTGAGCATCAGCTAATGGTCAAATCCTTTTTTTAAACCTCAGTCTGTTCCTACAGACTGATGTAACCACGTTGGTAATAACAAATTGTCAAATAACAGTGGCTTTTCCCTTTCTTACTTTTTCCATAACCAAGAACGCCACAGAGTTACTGGCTTCTCGCCAGAATCGGGGCAGATATTCTTTGGTGTCACAGCTTGTCTTCCCAGAGTAAGTGTGTGTGTGTGTGTGTGTGTGTGTGTGTGTGTGTGTGTGTGTGAGAGAGGGCTTACTATCAGGTGTGTGTGTTTGGTGTTATTGCACTCTGAAAAATGTGAAGCTTGTTTGTTGTGTTTGTACGCAGCTTCCTGATGATCTCAATGCTCTGTGGGCTTACATAACCTTTTATGGAGGAGAATGCCAGCTTAACCTAAACAAGAAGGTCACTCATTTAGTATTGAAGGAACCTAAAGGGGTGAGTGTGCGCTCCATGGAGCTGAGTCTAAACTAGCTTTTTGCCACAGTTCATTCTTTGCCATCAGTGCTGATACGGTGTTAGCGGCTACTTTCTTCTTGGCACAAAGTCATATCTGACTTTTTCATAGGTTCACTTATTTGTTTTCACTACAGATGGTGTTTGATTGCATATACATATATATATTTGTCTCCAGGCTAAATTTGAGTGTGCCCTGAAGCACTCCGGCATCAAGATTGTCACCCCTGACTGGATCACAGATTCTGTTAAAGGTAACATCAGTGCAGGCAGTCTAATGATGCGTTTTATCAAGTTGTTGTTCTCTTAAAGGCAAGTTGTTAATTATCAGCTTCTTCAAACTGTATTTTTCTGTTTAACATTGTATGTTCAACTGAATATCTTTGGTTTTGGACTAAATTACTGAGAAACGGGCATTTTCACTATTTTTGTTGCAAAAAGAAAGTGTATGCCTGTATCAGTTCATTTTCCTTATTCAACTTTAATAATGTATAAATTCTGACCAATAATGGAGCTGCTAGTAATCATTGTCAGACAGAAGATCTGTAATAACCTGTCCCTCTCTTCACCATTTAAAGATAAAGCCAGGAAGGAGGAGGCACTCTATCACCCCAGACTCACATATGTGGAGCCAGAAGAAGAGGAGGAGAGTGAAGCAGAGTCATACAACCGTCATTCTGATGGAAGCTACAGCCCCCAGCGATCCCGGCTGTCCAGTGGTGGCTCATCAGATGAGGAGTCCAGCCCCCGCAGACGACCGGGACCCAAAAGACTGAATTCTGTCTCCCCGACCTCTCCACGCAAACCCGAGCGCCGCAGCGAACGGATGTTTGATGATTCTGACGACGACTCTTCCACAGAGAAGGAGGGCACCAACCTCAACTGGACGCCGGCTGAGGTGGTCACCCCAGCTCCCCCTATTACAACCGGTACAGCCAGGCGTCGGAGTGGGCCACCCGGCATCAAAGACCCAGTGTCGTCCACAGGCAGTGGGCTGATCAACCTATGTGCGAATGTGCCTCCTGTGCCCGGTAGTGGCGGTGCCGTGCCTGCAGAGGCTCGCTCCGCTGCTGCCGCCATCGCTCACTCCGCACAGCAAGGTAGGTTTTTAAAAGCTTCGTTTGCTGCTCAGGCCTGCATTAGATTCTCTTGCACACTGTGTGTTGAGAAATGTCAGATAGTATGGGAAGTATTTGTGGAAACAAAAATGAATGCAACACTGTTAAGCCACTATAATGCATCATGTGCGCAACAGAGAGAGCATTGGATTTGTGCCAACATAAACAGCTGTAAAGTGAGAGACCTCTGGCTCATATAAATCAGGTTAATTCAGTTTCACTTGTAACACCAAATCACAACAACAGTCTCCTCAAGGCAGCAATTAATGATTTGGGCCTAAAGATTTGCTTTGTGGCGACCTGGTAACCACCAGTCACAGGGAAAACCAGTCCTCCCCGACAAGTCAGTTAGTGGTGGTTAGAAGCTGGTGGCAGCCGCTATGGAATCGATTCCTAAAACTCCATTCGTGCTGGACCCGTCAGGGATTCCTGGCAACCACACGTTGATGGGGAAAAGTGCGTATTCTGTGAACGGGTGTTGCCAATCATTAGCAGGAAATTGTTTGCAGAGAGGTGTATACGGTGCTGCCCAAAGCACTGCATATTCAGTTGTTTCACTGAGAATAGGTCCTATAAATGAGTGCAGTTTAAAGTGTAAGAATTTCTTTTATTATGAAAATAATGTTTTGCATTGAAGAAAAGTTGCGTTTTTTGTTTGTTTGTAAATGGACTGGTTCTTATGTATCACTTTTCTACTTTACTTGAGCACTCAAAATACTCACGCACTTGCCTCATTCACCCAGTCACACAAGAACCTTTTCTATGATTTTACCATCTCAGCGCTTTCTATCATCTATCTTACCTCCTGAGCTAGAAAAAGCCCAAGCTTACTGCACCTGGTATTCCCAGGCAGTCTCCCATCCAAGTACCGTATTTTCACGACCATAAGGCGCACTTAAAAGTCTTAGATTTTCTTCAAAAAGTACGGCGCGCCCTATACCGCAGTGCGCCCTGTGTGTTGTAAGGAGGACGTAGTAGAGAACACCATGAGAACGCTAAAGGGTGAAGTGTGGGCGCAACCCTGAAAATGGCAAAGAGACACGCTTATGAAGCACAGTTTAAACTGAAGGCCATCAGCTACGCGGAGGAACATGGAAATCGAGCAGCGGCGAGAGAATTTAAGATTAACGAATCGATGGTTCGCAAATGGAGGAAGCTAGAAAACAAGCTCCGGCAGGTCAAAACGCAGCTGAGTTTCCGCGGACATAAGGCGAGGTGGCTCGAGTTGGAGGAAAGACTCGAGCGGTGGATCATCGAGCAAAGAGCGAGCGGGAGAAGTGTTTCGACGGTCACCATTCGGCTAAAAGCAGTTTCACTTTCACTTTTTATGAAACGGTGCCATTTTTCCATCCGGACCAGGACTACGGTAGCGCAGCAACTTCCAGCGGATTATAAGGAAAAGCTGGCCATCTTCCGCTGCTACTGCAGCAAACACATCGGCGACAAACACATCCAGCCCAGCCACATCACTAACATGGACGAGGTCCCGCTCACTTTTGACATCCCGGTGAGTCACACTGTGGAGAAGAAGGGGACCAGCACGGTAGCGATACGCACAACAGGGTATGAAAAGTCTTCTTTTACTGTTGTGCTTGGCTGCCATGCTAATGGACAGAAACTGCCGCCTATGGTGATTTTTAAGCGAAAGACTTTGCCTAAAGAGAAGTTTCCAGCAGGAATCATCATTAAGGCAAATGAAAAGGGCTGGATGGATGAGGAAATGATGAAAGAGTGGCTGAGGGAGGTGTATGTAAGGAGACCAGGTGGTTTTTTCCACGCATCACCATCGCTGTTGATCTGACTCTATGCGTGCCCATCTCACAGTCGATGTGAAAAAACTTGTGAAGCAAATGAACTGTGAGCTTGCTGTCATTCCGGGAGGCCTGACAAAGGAACTCCAACCGCTGGACATCGGTGTGAACCGCCCGTTCAAAGTAAGGCTGCGAGCGGCCTGGGAGCGATGGATGACCGATGGAGACCAGTTTCACCAAGAGTGGAAGGCAGCGCCGGGCGAGTTTGCCAATGGATTGTAGATGCTTGGGCTAACATGTCTGCTGGCACTGTTGTTCGAGCTTTCGCAAAAGCCGGCATCGTTTCCGAGGAGCCGCACGGCACGGAAAGTGACTCTGACGGTGAAGACAGTGAACCTGGCATGTTTGATGGAGATTTAGCGCAGCTGTTCAGACACAGAGGATGAGGACTTCGATGGGTTTGATTGATGATAAAAATGTGAGTACCAAACTTTGTTTTGCTCCTGCTTTATTTTTAAATACGCATACGGTACTTGTATGCGCCCTATGGTCCAGTGCGCCTTATGTGTGTGTTAAATACAGTAATGGCACACATAACTGAGACTGCGCCTTTTAGCACAGTGCGCCTTATGGTCGTGAAAATACGGTACTAGGAGATTCAGCAGGTCACCCTTGGAAAGAAATTGCAAGTCTGAATTAGCCAAGAAAACTGCAGTCGGTCACTGAGCATTTCTCTAAATAAAACTTAGACATATATGTCTGAAAACATAGAAAATTTGCTGATGCTGAGGTGAGTACAGTGAGCTCACAGGACTTAGTGCGCTGGGAGAGCAGCCAGCAGAGCCAAACTCAGTGTTGTTTAGATTTTGTTTACATGTACGTTCTCTCTCACACACACACACAAACACACACTCTCTCTCTCTTTCCAGTCTACTCTTCAGTTCTGCACTGTCCAATAAAAGTGAAAAATGCCCAGGACATTCTAATGATGTTTTTCTTTGAGCACAATGTATTAAATTGTATGATTTCTGTTTTGTTACTCCTGATGCAATGTGATGAAGATGCTACTTCTCTCGCCTCTTCAGGTGTATCTGTTCCAGAGAGCATGTCAGGGTGGAGCCCGGCTGTTAGAACGCTCCGCAACATCACCAACAACTCCGACATGCAGCCTGCCAATCGAGCAGCCAGCGTTCATGTAAGAAACACAGCCTGCTTCCACTGAGCACCAGCACTTCTCACATTGGCTAGAAAGGAAACGATGCTAAAGGAGTGTGCTTTGAGTGGTTATTTGTTTTCTGTGTTTATTGGTTCTGTTTCACATTTTCAATCATTACTTTTGCACTGCGACAGTGACACACATGCTGTTGAAGAAAGTAAGAGAGCGGGCAGTAGCTATTACAGACAGGGCCGTGAACCTTAAGAGTTGTACAGTTGTTAGAACAGCATAGATGGGATATTTGGATAGTACTGCAAAGTGGGAGCACAGGGTGCGTAGAAGATTTCATTGAGATATTCACTGTGTCTTGGGTGGTGAGTTATGCTGAGTCGATGGATGCTCCATGAGACTGCACACGTCAACTCACATTTGAATCTCAATCGTGATGTGACTTCCCACGGTTAATCTGATCAACCGATACAAAAAAATGAATGTTCTATCAAATAGAATGAGAAGCAAATCTAGCACTCCCTAAATCCCAACAACACAGCTGCATATAGCATATCCAGTCACAGTCCTGCCCGCGTAGCTCGAAGTTTGCTGGATGTAGTCCGAATGAGTAGCACTACATTAAAATACAGACGGAAACAAAAATCAGAAGAAGAGCCTGTGTGTCTTCTAATCTACATGCACATTAGGTTAACGGGGGTTCTAAGCTGGCTGTAGGCAGTTTTACTAGTGGCCAATACGGGTAACACACTTCTGACCAAATTCTGTATGTATAAGTTCAACTTGGCTTCCAAATCCAATTGTTCTCAACTTGTCTGGCTTCAGGACGCACCACCATCACCTCTTAACGATAAGCCGTGACCCAGATTTTCAGATTCTGAAATTTGGTGAATGAAAATATTGTGCGGTTTGAATCTGAGATGGTAGATCATAATATCACAGTATGACAATACAAAAAAACACACTTTTGGGTTGCAACCCACCCGTTGAGAATCACTGGTGTAGAAATCAGTGGAAAGGCAGCTTCTTCTATGTGCCCCGCAATCACCTTATGATCCAATAAAGACTTCAGGTCTTGAATGGGCAGAAAAGTTAGGAGCATGCAGTGTTAAAAAACATTTAAAAAAAAAATCAAGCATGAAGCGCACATTCAGTTTCACTTCTACTCTTTGGATTTTCACTGTTCTTTGTGGCTGGCTGACAGACTAACTACAGCGCAAGCAAGAGTTGTCCACAGACTGGAATGCATGTATTGTACACTGCCTCCAACGACAGCAGAGCTCTCTGCAGACAGATGGTCTGACTGCAGCAGAGCAGACTATAAACTCAACCTCTGCTGGACTATAAATCCTGCTTTATTAGTTTTTCATTCAGATCTTCAGCTGCACTTGTAATATTTGGTTTGAAATATGTTACAGTGACATAAGGCTTACATACCATTGGGGGATGGTGACCAAGTCTTTTTATGTAGAGGCTGTAATCATGTCATGTACATGTATAAATAGTTATGTTCAGTGATGGGAATAACCCCATTACTTTTTTCAGTAACAAGTAATCTAACTAATTACTATTTCTATCGTTACAACGCCGTTACCGTTACTAACAAGAAAATGCGGTCGCGTTACTGTTTTTCAACGGACAGTTGAAGCTGTGTTCAGCTTACCGCACCTTATATCAGTTGCACGGAAGTAGCTGTAAGTAATCTGGGCGCTACAGCTTTAAAGCAGCTGCGCGCTCCCGCGGGAAACAATAACTTTTTGGCACAACACCTGGAGCTCAGGGGGCAAAACAATGGCAGGAGTGCTGCTGTTTGACTGAGGAAGAATAAAGTAGTCGTGGTAAGCCAATCACATGACCACTTCAAGATCACAAAGCAACAAGGTGATATGTACCAGTTTTTAAATTGTGTTGATAGGCCACGTAAAACCAGGGTCATGATAAACAATCCGGTCTTTAAATCTGACGTCATTAGCCGTGCCTGGGCCCAAACTCTGCTGCAGGTCCGTAAGTCCAACGATCACTGCGGCATCACTGACAGTTAAAACTGTCTAAATCCTTTCATCTGTAATAAAATGATCAGCGTTCTGCTCTACCAGGTGTAACAATTAGGTTTAACATCCATGAAAACGGAATTTATGAAATTTAACGGAGTTAGAAGTTAGCAGGAAGTTGGCTCGCTAGTTTGCATCTAAATATAATATACCATGTTCTGACTGAGGGATTTATGAAACAAGTTAAGACGTACAGCTCTGCTATCATTTCCGACATAAGTGAAGACAGGAAAGTAAACAGCAGGGACATTTGTAGGGTTACTGAAGTTTGGCTAGCTGGTATATAATGATGTGCTACGTGGTCGCTAGTGACACAGCTATGTTAGCTGGAGGATAAATACTAACTTTTATAGTTTTGTGTTGTGTGTCAGAACAATGAGGTGACTGCTGTCTCCAGGTAAAAACAGGAGGAGTGACACACCTGCTGCTGTCAGACCTGCAGCTAGAGCAGGGCGATATGACCAAAAATATTTATCACTCTATATACATTTGAAAATTTGCGATAACGATATAACTGACGATATAATTGACACTAGACAAAATACTTTACAACTCCACAACTTTATTAGTGCAAAAAACCATCAATGTATTTTCTCTTAAACAAGCAGCTGTTTTTTATTTTATCTGCATTAAAGTTATATAAAAACGTAACAGTGCAAATTCCTCGCTGACAGTTTACCCAAAAGGCATTTCCAGTGGAAACTGGCCGACATATCCTCAGCATAACCATGTAGAATATCCACAAAACCTAAAAAGAGCTTATACACACACAGTACGGTAATATTCTGTTGAAGCAGAGTACGTATCACTCCGCGAGGCTCCGTCTACGATAGCCGTAAAGCTCCAACAATCCATCAAGCGGTGCGGCTTCGTAGCTTAGCAAAGTCGTACTGAAACATTTGACAGATTTTCGAGCGCCGTGCACATAAAATCGTTTCGAGGTCAGTAAACACAACCAGAGTTCATACATAAGGCACACGGGGTTATAAGGGGCTCTGTCGACTTTCAGAAAAATCAAAGGATTGATTTTAAGTGCGCCGTATTTTCCAAACAACACGGTAATAACGACGGCCCGCTAGCATGCGCTACCAAAAATAGTGCTTTGTTGTGTATCTGACGGACGAAAGCTAAACCAGTTCCACACCAGTGAAGCTGCATTTTTACATTTTTTTGCTGCACATTTTTACAAACCAGCTCTGCTTCATCGTTTCATTCAACGATCCACTTTCACTCTTCTCATTCTCCAACATTATAGCGGCATTACCGTGAACGGTATGATATGGCCCAGCCCTACCTGCAGGTATCAGGCTGTGATGTTCTCCTTTATAGTGGACAGAAATTATTGTAGTGGCACAAATAATTTGTGTGGCATCTTATTGAATGCAGAACAGCTGATTGTTCTGTAAATTGTTTGAAATGGTCATTAAAAAAGGTCAAAGGTAAATGGCTGCAAATAACTTCGTTTACAAAACTTGTGCAAAGGATTTTAAATTTGACAATTTATATTTGTTATGAAATATGATCATTAAACACGTTTGTGGTTGTTACAGTAAAAATATAACTTTTTCTACTCTGATTTTATGTTTTTTGTCTGATTTTTAGATCATTTGTGTTAATACAGTATGGTCAAAATGAAAACATATCGGTAAATTCAGACACGTGAGGTTGTGCTGAAAAGAATGAAACCAAACAAGGCAAAGGAAATCGTTTTTAAAGGTGAGATGTGGAGGAAACATCAGAAGTAGTTAAAATGGCCAATTATACCCTGGACCCCAGAGGGTTAAAAAATTTTTTTTAAAGTAACATAGTTACTTTTCAAGTAATTAATTACTTTTAGAATCTTGTAACTCAGTTACTAACTTAGTTACTTTTTTGAAGAAGTAACTAATAACTATAAATAATTACTTTTTCAAAGTAACTTGCCCAACACTGGTTATGTTATCATCAAGACAAAGTAAAAAGAAGAGACTTAATCTCATACAACTGTCTTTAAATCGGAGAATAAAAATAAACAAGATTTTTGGAAATAAGTTTTGGGACTAAACAAACCATAAAGACACAGGAACAATAGGAGCGCTGAGCTGTCTCAGATAAGCAGCAAGCAGGTCAGCCAAGATGAAGGTACTTCACCTCATTTTTCTGGAGGTGACTGCTGTTGTGATTTGGCGTTGTTTAACTAAAATTGAAATAAATGTTTTGATCTGCGTCAGAAAAACACAGTCGCCAGTTTGTCCAAGAGACTGTCAGTGAATGACAGGCTTCTGGAGAACACAAAGTTGTGTGGAAAGTCTGACTCTAGACAACCTGACACTAGGGGCTCATGCTCCTTGGGTTGTTTCTTACAGCGGGCATGTTTCCAGATGTGCTCCTCATGCCTTTTCCTTTTGAAAACATCCTCAATTTGCTGTTCCCCCAGCAAATTCTCATTTTCTCATTTCATTTGATCATCTCTTTTGTAGATTATCCAGCCTGCTAATCAAACAAAGCCACTGGAGCAGCAGACGAATCAGAGTCATGCTCAGACCCTGAACAGCACCAATGTTCTTCTCTTCAATCAGGCCAAACTGACCAGTCAGCCCCTGACAGCCGAGCAGCAGCAATTACTACAACAGCAGCAGTCAAACCAGGCCGCTCAGCAACATCAGCAGTTATCACAGCAACCACAGCACCCCCTGATGCACCTTCAGCAGCAACAACAGATGATGCAGCTACAACACCACCCACAACAACAGCCACAGGCTGCTCAGCAACAAGGGTTCCCACAGTTGCCTCTACAGCAGCAGCAGTTCCTACAACAGCAGCAGCAGCAACAAATGCACCAACAGCAGATGTTTTCCCAGCAACAGCAGCAGCATGTGTTCTCCCAGCAGCAGCTGCGACCTCAGCAGCCCTTACGGCCTGGACTACAGCAGTTGCAGCAGCAACAGCTGCTGCAACAACAGCTGCAGCAGTTGCAGCAGCAGCAAAGAATGCAGATGTTACAGCAGAATCAACAGCAGATGCACCAACAGCATCTACAACAGCAGCAGCAGCACTTCATGCAACAGCACCATCAGATGCAACAAAAGCAGCATTTGCAGAACCAGCATCAGAACCAGCAGGCCGTGCAGCAGCAGCAGACAGCTATGCTGCAGCCACCGCTCCAGCAGCCTCCTCACGTCTCCCAGCTGTTTGGACACGAGCCGGGCCAAGAAAGTGAGTGAAGTCTTGATTACTGTGGGCTAGGGTCACATTTATACTGCTAGAACTAAAGAAGGCCAGAGTGAAGCTTCCCTCATTGTATTTAAATCATCACATTAAAAAAAAAAATCATTTTCAACCCAACCATCCACGTTCAGACCTTTTTTCCACACATGGAAAAGTGTGAAAATTAAATGACTGAGAAATTACAACAGAGAAAAAATAATTTTGTTTCGACCTACTGCCCTGTAGGAGTGTGTCTGAATCTGAAGTTACAGTTTAAAAGATCAAAACATTTAAAGGTACGGGAATAATTTATTGTCGTAAAAAGAAATGTCAAACAATTAAGAGCAATGAAAAAGGGATTAGTAGTAATAGTGCAAGAATTTGAATAATTTATGAATATGCTAGATTGTTACGTTTTTAATATCAGTACAGTTGTAAGACTGCTGCAGGGCAATGTGCACGTCCAAAACGTGGGCCTTGAATATGAAAAGTATACACATGTTTTCCAAGTTATAAGAGTTAAAATAGCATTTTGTTCATTTTTGTGACTTAGAAAACTTTGGTGTGAAATTCTAAGTGTCTATTGTTGCATCATTGTGTAACACAACTGGGGTGGCTGTAGCTCGGGAGGTAGAGCAGGTCATCTACTGATCGGAAGGTTAGTGGTTTGATCCCTGGCTCCCCAGGGTTTGAACAATGTTGTTTGAATTTTAGTTAGTAAACAATTAAAAGCATAGAAGGGAATGCTTGTGTGAATGTGGCATGTAGTATAAAGCGCTCCGGGAGAATAGAAAATCACTATATAAGAATCCGTCCATTTACCACAACTATATACCATTCAGATATTCACTAATTGTTTTTTGGACTTTTAATCATATTAAGTTTGTACAGGACAGTTTGGTTTTAGTTTTGTTTGTTTTTTAAAAAATAATTTTTACTCAGACTTTTGATTTTTGATGCATCTTTCACAAATTATAGATCCTGATTCATTTCTATGGTAAGAGAAAATTTCAGGTTCTTAAGAGGGGTGAATGGGCTATTTTATTAAATTTATCTTTTTTTCAGTTTAATTCAATTCAGTGGAATTTAATTTATATTGTGCAGTTGCGTCAAGGCACTTTATATTGTAAAGACCCCACAATAATACAGAGAAAAGACCCAACAGTTAAAGAACACCTTTTAAGCAAGCACTTGGCAACAGTGGGAAGGAAGAACACCGTTTGAACAGGAAGAAATTCTGGCAGAACTAGGCTCAGGGAGGTATCTGCCACGGCTGGGGGTGAGGGGAGAAACCGAAAACAAAAGAGAGCCAGAGTTTACTAAAAATGAATACAAATTCCAGAAAAGTTGGGACTTTCTTTTAATTTGAAACACTTTGAAATCACATGAGCCATTTTTTTTTATTCACAACAAAACAAATAACATGACAAATGTTTAAACTGAGAAATTGTACACCTTCATCCAATAAATGATGATTTTGGGTCCTTCGCTCTAGTTAGCGGTGAGCACAGTGCATGTGAAGGGCCTTAAGGTGCACATCTCAGGACTGTGGGAGGAGCTGGAGTACCTGGAAAGAACCCACACAGATTCAGTGGTGGATTCAAACTCGGAACCTTCTTGCTGTGAGGGAACAACTGCTTTGGTACAATCATTGTCTATACCCAAACTTTGGCCCATAAAGTTTTTATTTCGATGTGATGGCTTGAAATGAGCCAAATATAATTTTATTAGGCCCTCAATAAAGTAGCTGCATGCTCTACCAGAAGCTGCTGCAGTCTTCAGGAAATTTAGTACAATGATTTTCCATACTTGCTCTGCTCTCTGCTATAACAACATCTAAATTGCTTAGACTCAGCTAGAGATGCTTCAGGTTCTTTGTGGTGGGCTTGTTTAAGGGCCTGACAGAATGAGTGTCACGTATAATAATAATAATAATAATAATAATAATAATAATAATAATAATAATAATTAATAATAGTAATAATTTATATAGCATTCTTCACAGGATAAGAACCACAAAATGCTTCACAATAATAAAAAAAAAAAGATGTGCAAAAACAACCCAATCGATCATTTAGCACAAATCTAATTAAAGCCAGTCTAAATAAATGAGTCTTTAGCTTTTGTTTAACTCATTCACTGCCATTGACGTCTATAGCCGTCAATGGCAGTGAATGAGTCAATGGGTTTAACTCATTCACTGCCAATGGCTGGCAGTGAATGAGTTAAAAGAATGAATATAATCAAGGCGATGTAAAGATGGAGGCAAAGCATTCCACGTCTTCGGGGCCGCCGCTCTAAAAGACTGATTTTGATTAGCCTTTGAGATGATGATGTCAGAGATGTAGGCAGGAGCGTCACAACTCAGAGCTTTGAAAGTCAGTACTAAGATTTTTTTTTTTAACGAATTCTAAAACGTACTGGAAACCAGTGTAATGAGAATAAAACCAGCTCTCTTTTTCGTGTCTTTGTTAAGAGCTTTGCAGCAGCATTCTCAAACAAAGAAAAAGGCTGTTGCAATAAGCGAGATGAAATAAAAGCATGATTAACTATTTCCAATTCAGATTTAGACAACAGGGTTCATAAATATATATATATTTTTTAGCTGAAAGAGGCAGTTCCTAATTATCTGTCGAGAGTGTTGCTCTAGGGATATGGTAGACTCAAAAAATAACACTGAGGTACCTGAGGCTCGGCTGAACAGAGGAGCCAAGAGAACCAAGATGCTGTTTGATTACAGATATTTCGCTGTCGGGAGCAATAATTACTGTTTCGGACTTCTCTGAGTTCACCTGCAAGTAAGACTGCCACGATTAGTCGACTAGTCACGATTACGAATCGGCGACGACTAATTTAATAGTCGACGCGTCGTTTGAAGCTTTGTAAGATCCCAAAAGGTGCAGGAATAAGTAGCAGGATTTAAGAGTGTAATAGCGGACTAAAACAGAAGATGGCAGCACTGCATGTCCAGAAATGCAAGCTGGACCCCGAACCCTGAAGAAGAAGCTGTGTGCGGTAGAGCAGGGCGATATGACCAAAAATATTTATCACGATATACATTTGAAAATTT